CTCCTTTCAGGCAGTTGTAGGGAGCGATAAAGGCTCTCCCTGGGCCACCCTGCGCTGGCACGCTCCCCGGGGACGTGCTCCCTGGGGACGTGCTCTCTGCACGCTTCACGGGGTGTTCTGCAAAACGCAGGCATTTTGGTTTTTTGGCTCGCTGTGGCTGATGTCCTTCCCATCCGAAGGAGCACCTCCAGGCTGCTGCACAGTTGCCCGAGGATGTGTTTTGCTGTAGTTTTTAGCTGTAGAGCTGTTGCTCTAGTCCTAGATGGGTCTGGCAGGAAAAAAAAATAATTTTTTAATATATATATATATATAAAATAAATATTAAGTACATATATACACACATACGTACATCTCTGGAAGATGAAGCAGCCTGGCTTGTGCTGCTGTGGCCCCCCTCATGGCGGGGAGCACTTTGTCACCTCCGTGACGTGGCTCAGCCTTGAGCCTGACCAACGTCACCAGCCAGGGCACGCAGGGCGGTGGTGACAGCCAGCCAGGCGCAGCCTGAAGGCCAGGGCTGGTGTTTTAGGCTGACGCCCTTGCTGCTAACCGCGGTGGGCTGGGGCTCCGGCGGCAGCCGGGGCCAGCGGCAGCTGTGAGCAAACAGCCCGCTGTTGTTTTCGGAGGTGTGGTGAGGATAACACATCTGTACAGATGTGAAATGCTGCAGATTCTGGCCAGGGAAACACCGACCTCTGGATGAACCTTTGCCTCCAGCGTCCCTCGTCGCCCATCAGCAGCCCAGCGCGGAGCCCCGAAAGCGGAAGGCGGCGCAGGGGAGGAACCGCGCCGTGCGAGCGCTCCAGCCCCCGGCACCGCCTCGCTCGGGGAACCCCGGCCCTCTCCTCCCTGCATCCCGAATTGCTGGGCACGGGTCTGCACAGCAGGCACGGCCGATGAAATCAGCTGAAAAGTCCCTGATTTTGATCAGGGACTTCTGTGGAGAATCCCTGGGCATTTGCATCCCAAGGCTGTGAACTCCCTTTGCAGGAGTGCCTGGCAGAGCAGGCCGGGTGCGGACCGAGAGCCGCTCGAGGCGCCCTGCAAACACCGAGAGGTCACAGACTGTGCCAAAGTCAGAGCGAACTGCACAGCACGGGATTTGCTCCTGCAAATCGCAGGGCATCCCGTGCTTCTTGCCACTCCTGGCCTCCAGGCTGGCTCCCGCGTCTGCTATAGAGAGAGATGCCTCTGTTCCCCAAAAAGGGTTTCATGTGAGAGGTCTCTGAAGGATGGGAGGAAGGAGCAGCAGGACAGAGGCTTGGTGGAAAAGGGGATAAAACCATTTAAAGCCACTTGCCCAATGTCACAGCCAGGTGACAGACTGGGCGTTAAGGAGGCAGAAGAGTAGCTGGTTATCTAAGTACATCAAATCCATACATCCTTCCCACATATGGTGACAGCAATGCCGTTTTCTGTCGTGTTCCCCACCTGCAGCGAGCAGCGGGGAGCCAAAGGCAAATGCTGAGCAGCTCTGAGCCCGACGAGGGGACCGGTGCCTCTCCCATCAGCAGTGGCAGCTGCGGCAGCATCAAATCCTCCCTGAAGGACAGAGGAGCTTTGCCTTTTGGCCCATTGCACAAGCGCAGCCAAAATACTTTCCACAGAAACTCCTGGTTTGCCTAGGGAAGAAGTCCCACCCAGAACACTGAGATCAGGAAAAAGCTTTATTTGCAAAGAAAATATTGACAATTTACATAAACTTACATCCTAATTTATATACATTATGTATATTTTATATACAGATAGTGTCTTGAATAAAGATGTCGAAGCACAAACCAGCATCAGTCTATCACTGGGCAGCTCTAACAGTAACGGGGGGCCGTGTCTCTGCCCACAGCTCCTCTCCGTCATGCTTTTGCTGGGGGTCTGAGAGGCTTCCTTCCAGCCGGGGCGTGACAGGCACAGGGTGGGTGGGGGTCAGGCTGGCGTGGGTGCAGCCACGAAGCGCAGCCGTGGTCATCCCTTCCCCTCTCCCCCAAAGCCTGCGCCAGGACCGCCCGGGGCCAGGATGGGAGCCAGGGCAGTGCCACCGGCCCACGGCGAGTGGGAAGGACCCACCACACTCCTCCTCTTACCGGGAAGAGGGGAAGAAACATGAACGAGCTCCTGCACTTTGCTCACCTCCCTCCCAGCGCAGCTCGGAGGCCCTTTTCTAAGCACCTGACGTTGCTCAGTCAGTGGAAGGATGATGCCAAGTCCCCAGATGGGGACAGTGGCGGCAGGGAGACCACAACCGCTTACCTGGGTGACAAAGGCGCCGGAGGGAAGCAAAGGCCAGGCAGTTTGGGTAGGGAGCCGTGACCTAAAGCCTTTACTGAAGGCGATTCTTCCTTCCAAAGGGGCCCTGAACACAACAGCTGAGCTGGCTTCCCTAGAAATTGTCTCTGTAGAGAGGAGCTTAGGGGGGAGAAGGCTTTCAGACGATGCATTATATACCCATTATCTGCTTCCTACGTTTCTGCAGCTGGAGTCCAGCCGACAGCTGGGCAGCAGAGCCAAGGCACAGAGGTAAGAGCAGAGCCAGCAAGTACCACCGGAGAGGGAGGCTGGCACACGGGGAGCCACTGGTGACTGCTTTTGTGTCCACCATCACAGATATGCAGACGTTTGTCTATAAACAAAGCACTTCTTTCTCAACCAGAGCGGGAATGGATATACATCAACATTCACAGACATCAGAGGGAAAGACTGGAGTGAGACCCTGTTCCTGCTGGAGTTTGTTAAAACCTCCCATAGGCATCCTCCTCACGCTCCCCTGAGCTGCGTCCAGGCCTTTTCGGCTCCGGTTCAGGGGAAGAGGCACCAAAGGTGGTGGGACACCATCTAGAGAAGCGTCACACAGAAGCAGCTATGCTACAGCCTAGGCAACCTGCACCGTAAGACTTCGTTAACGAGAACGTGGGGCTAGAGAGGCCAATGGGCTTCAAGTATAAAGAGTGCCCACGGCTGCTGCAGGACCGGTGATCTGCCCGCTAATCCCGGGGACGAGCACAGCTCTCAGTACCAAGGCCACCCGCAGTCAGGTATTCTCTGCTCTCCGACCCCATCCCCAACTCCAGCTCCACGTCTCCAACTCGGCTACACTGAGCTCACGCCTTGGTGTAACGCAAGCATCAGAAAAAGCCCGTTAACACCTTCCACGGCAGGAACGGCTCCCTTCTGCTCTCCTCCCGCGTCTCAGGCACGTGCCAGAGAGGGAAGCTGGCAGCGATGCCTGGGGCTCTTACGGAGAGAAGGGACTCTCCCTCTGCCTCCTCCTGCCGCAGCCACAGTCAGGAGCAAACCCCAGATCCTGCCTGTGGGGGACAAGGAATGCAACCTCCATCCATCGTGCTCTCCCAAGTCACTGCATTATTTATGCTTGCCCCTAAGTCTTGCTGTTCAGGCTATATTCTAAAGCAATGCTGTTAATGATTTGCTTAATGTTCTCACTATACAGTTGTCCTGATTCATTCTTGTCAGGGGAACATGTCCTCCTTAAGCCATTTTAAAGGAAATAAACCACAAAGACTAGTTAAGTGCCCCTAAGGCTCTTGCTAGTCCAACATGTTAAGGCTAGAAAGAACATATTGAAAAAGAAATAGCAGGCAATTTTTCATGCAGTTATTTTACAAACTGCACGCCTCCTGTGAATAGCGAGGCTGTAGCCAAAGCTGGGTGCCCCCAAGAAATATTTATCTCCCAATAACTGCAATACTTGGCAAGTGAGATCACTCGCTACGGATGGGGAAAAGCGACGGAGCCAAGAATGCTTCAGCCAGGGCGGACCCTTCCGCGGTCAGACCGGTCACTCCGGCGTGGCACGGAGACACGTCCGCTCCCACGTCCCCGCAGGTGACCACGGCTCAGCCACCTCCGCTTGGAGACGGAGGTCATCACCAAGACGTCGGTTCGGGACTTGCCCCGTTTGCTACGTAGGCTGAAACTTCACTACCCTCTTTAGTTTTTGAAGAAAAAACATGCTCTGAAGAGAAATCTAGTTAAAATAAAACAACCCAACACAAGCAAGCACAAACCAAGGCAGGACACAAAAGAGCAATTAGCGTTTCAGCCTCTTCCTCAGCTCCAGCACATCTTATGGTGTTAGGTCTCCCCAGCTGAGGGGAGGTAACGGGAGAGAGTTGCTCAAGAAGCCAAAAGAAACAATAGCGTCCCAGCTCTTCTATTAGTCACCAGAAATCGAGTTACGACTAGACTCAGCAGGGCTCAGAGAAAAGAAAAAGTGGTGACTTCACGCTGGACCAGACCTTTTAACTACAATTTTTTTTTTTTTGCTAGAGACTCCATCACCACTTATTAGAGCATTTTAGGTAGGAGGGTGCCAAAAGGAAAGGGATGGGGGGAGGAAGGATAAAACCCACGTCTAAAAGCAGGACAGTTGCTATTAAAACAGAAAAAAAATCCTGTTTGAATAATTTTATTCTTAAACATGACAAACTTCTTCAGAGTGTTTTCACAAGTACTTGTGTCTGCTCTACGTGGCTCGGTGAAGCCGGTAGAAATGTGTTCTGGTTTGCAAAATATTAATTAAAAAGACAAAAAAACCCCAACAAAACACAAATTGCTGTAACAGCAGCAGTACTTTGAGGCAGCCCCCCTTAGGGCAAGGTACACCTCTGGGGTAATGGCAGGAGCTGAAAGTAGCAGAGGCTCTGGAACCGGTAATCGGCATTTTCTTTGGGACTTTGTGATTTCTGGAATGTGGAGGCAGTTTCCTATCTGCTAAGCCTGCTCTACTGAGTATTCACCTTCCTCTCGCACTTACTGCTTTTGCGGCCCGCTTCCAAGCTCTAGGTAGAGGCACTTCGCCGCCTTTGCTCGCACTCCTGAGGATGAATGTAAACACCACTGACCCTGTCTTATTCACCTCCCTTTGCATCCCGTGGCCATTCCAGTTCAAACTGGGAAGGCAGAAAACCAGAACCCCCCTTTCTTGCTTCCCTTAGCGTGCAGAAGCTGGAGTGCCTGGATAGGACAATTTTGACATTAGTCTGCCTTCTCCTGCTACCGCCTGGGATGCTCTTGCTAGTGCAACGTCAAAGCAGAGACCCACACCACTCTCAACAAGCCTCATGTGAAGATCACAGAGCAGAATATCAGTGCAGTAATACTTGAAATACTGAGACAAGGCAGACACAACAGCCTTTCTTCCTCACAACGCTTTTTCCCCTAGCTTTTTGATCCAAGTCTCCATGCAAGTCACAGAAGACAATTGTGCTTCCTGCATTCACATATAGGAATAAATAGCTCTGGATCAGTTTTCTTTATGGCCGGATTACAGAACCCCCTGAAATACTGATACGCTTATGAACAGCAGCACTGTGCAGTTCTGTGAGTATCCTTGGACGTGCCAAGTTCATCTAGGATGCTGGTGCATCTCCTAGGCGTATGGCCCCAAAGAAAGTTGTGTGCTTGCTCATGTTGATGGAGATGTCAGCATGGACCATTTTCACAGCAATCTTCTGCCTGGCTTTGAGGAGGCAGACCCCAGCTGTATAGCAGGTATTGAAGTTGGTCTTGCCGGTCTCAATACTCCGAGTGCATTGCAGAAAGGGCTTTTCATCCACCACCACCTCATAGCTGGCAAAATCTGTGAAGTTTATGTAGTATACCTGATGTGAAGCAGGAAGAAGAGAGGTGTTAGGGAGTGTATTTGTGCACATGGAACAAGTCCGCATTCCTTTTAGTGCGTACACGGAGGCTCCCTCCGCTAACGATCCCTTCCTTGGCCCCAGGACACCTATGCTCATGGGAGGCTGACTTGTTTGAGGCAGAAAGAAGCCCAAGCCAACCGAACGCGAGGAAACTCTGCATTCCGCTTCATACTAAACACAAGCATGCACGCATCCGTGAGTCCACGTATCTAAGGCCGAGCTATGAATCCTCGCTTTAGACCCTGCTTATTACAGGAAAAATTACAAACCTGCACAGGCCTAGTTACAAAAACGCATAGACAGCCCTATCTGCTACAAACAGCTTTTCATCCAACAAACAAACAGAAGTATTTTAACTGAAGGCCTCTTTCACTTACCTGGCCAGTCCTGCTTTCTGGGTCCCATGAGCCTCCTTTAGTGTTGACATCAAAAAATGCCCTAAGATGTACTGGGAGTTGCCTTCTTTGTAACTGGACTTGAGGTGCTCTCAAAGGCATAAGCTCTTACAGGGAAGACACTCTCCCAACCTCCACAGCTTGGAAGCAAATGACCTTACGGTGTTTGTACTGATTTCACCCTCAGACCTAGCGCCTAAGTCCCCAGGACTCCATTACTCATTACTTAACCTCTCCCACACACCGATTCTGAAGAACTGCAAGATGCATGAGGAAGACCTTTCCAAGGAAAAGTCAATCCCAGGGAGCTGCTTCTTCCTGGTAGAAGAAAACCAGCCATTTTGGATGCCTCTGCTAATTCTCAGTCTACATGCTGCGACCACAGAAGCTACACAAGACTGAGTCCCCTTTTTCCCTGATGGACTACAGACGACAAAGGCTTCAGAGGCACAACGTCGTGGCCAGCAATTAGCATTAAGCACTCAGGAAACGATTATACTTTGGCCCATGTAGAGTTATTTTTCCTGTCCCCATCCAAAGCAGACACGTAACCAGTTCCACGAAGGAGCACCTAAGGTGACACCCACAGCCCACTTATCCGACTTGGTACAGTCCCAGTGGGGCCACCAACTGAACAGAGGCAAATCATGAGCAGGAGGCCATACCAGAAGCCTGGAGCAAGGTGGACGTTGCTTAGTGGTGGCTGTCACACAGAAACCCTCTTGTCTTGCTAAAATCTGTCCCAGAACCTGGGCGGTTTTTCAGCCCGCAGGTGGGTGGCCACCCTGCGTGCTCTGGACGGGGAGAGCTTCGTAGCTCGTGCTCCAGGCAGCTCAGCAATTCCATTCAGAGATTTGCAAGACACTGAGAGCAGCGCATTAAATGACAGTCCATCTATCTCCTGCATTTTATTTGAATGGGGAGAGGAAATGATGTCTTAATTAACTGTATACTCAATCAAAATACATTAATTTATTACTTTGTTTAGCCCTTTTTACAGAAGCAGGTCCGTACATCCATCGTCAGCACCAACTAAAGCAGCAGCTGAGCCATCCCGCTGTGCAAGGCGGTTGCTGGTGCATTGTGTCGGTCTGAAGCTACACGAAGAAGGTGGAGGCAAAACGGAGTTACCTGGGCTGGAGTTTGGCCAAGCCACCTGGGCCGCGAGTCCTACGCTTACAAAGAGTGACGTGGCTTCGCAACGATCATGAGTTGGCAGGGCTTTGGTCTTAACACCTCTTTTAAAGCACAGAGCCCAGTGTCCTGCTGGGACCCTTGTTCTGCAAGGAGGTTTAGATGTGCTGGTGAATGACCGCACAGACAATATGGAGGATTAAAAAAAGGCATTGGTGGCATGTGGGATCTGGCTGGGCATCCGCGCCTGTGTTTCGGTAACTAATCTCTTGCGGCTGGTGTCACGGCGAAACGTGCGACCTTGCACTTCGAAACTCTAACGTCTTCCTCCGACACACATCTCCTAGAGCACGAAGCGGTTAAAAGTACATACAAGTTCTTGGCATTTGCTAGTTGTCTGGAGCCCTCTCGTGGTTCATGCAAGGCTTCCATTGGAACACAAGAATAGGAGTTAGGCCTAGGACCGTACTCACTTCTACCTGACTATAGATGAAGTATGTGCCGTCCACCAGTACCTCCAGCTCCCCACTGCGGGCATGCAGCTTAAACACCTTGGGGTTCATAGTGATGCGAGACCAGTCATTGAGGACTCCACCTGAAAGATCTCAGTATGAGAAAACGGCAGTCACTCAGTACCCGTCAGAATGAAAAGCGCAGGAGCACAGAAATACAGTGACATTGCAACGTTTCATACACAACAGCTGGCACAGACTCAAGTTGAAAAGTCAAGTAACTTGGTAAGAAAATCCCAGAATTAAAGGCTGCGGTGCGTTAGTTTGGATGCCTCTCTACAGCTCTAAGTACACCGTCACTTGCTGGTGGACACTCGTTTTGTTCAGGGCCCAGCACACCTGATTTACATCTCTGCTTGTCCTCATCAAGAGGAGTTCTCCTCATCCTTGAAAACAGGCGAACGGCCTTTTGTACTACACTACGTTCATCCCCAGCACTGGATACAGACTAGCTTGCCTCCTCCTGACACCGAGTTGGGCTTATTATCATATTTGAGTGTTTTACAGGCCTGAAAACACGTTCCCAGCATCATCCCCACTCCAGAGCAAAGACACTCGGCACATGCAAATCAATGCCAGTGCTGCAAGGCATTTGCTAAGTTTTCTTAATTCACCTGAGAGGCCGGGGCTGATTTTTCACGCTATTTTTGTACATTCAGCCACCGATCACGAATGACTTAGCGCAGCTGCGATTATAAAAGGATTTCTACAACCCAGGCCCCAGGTGCCTCCTGAAGAGCATCCATTTGTGGCCCTTGTAAGAGCTTCGCTACTGACAATTTCCCTGGTATCACAGAAGAAACCTCTGCAGCAGAGGTAGGACCAGGATCCAATTCTCCAAGCAAGATCCTCAACTGACATTACCCAGCCTCGGGACCATTAAACCTCTTCCTCTGCTTTCCACCTCATTCATTCCCCTCCCCACACCTCTCTACCCAGTGTCCACACTGAACAAAGCGGAGCTTCAGCAGACGGGGTGCTGAAGGCTACATCAACAGGTACGTCCTTGAGGACCACGGCCAGGCTAGGATGAGAACGGTGATTCCTGTCCTTATGGGAAGGGGACTACCCGTGGCCAATCTGTCTGCCCCCCTCTCAGCGCTGCTGGGCAGGAAGATGTTCTCAGCAGTGGCATCGTGACACAGCCTTCACCCTCACTGTACGCCTTGGGATCAGCCCTAGAAGAAAACTAGTCCTTGCAGCGAGAGAGACAACAGTATTAGGGAAAAAACCATGTGCAGCTACAAGACTAGACCACGTCTCAGGACACGTATGTGCGTGGAGGCCAGTTTAGGGTTACACAATCGATTTTAATTCTGGTATTCCTTGACTTCAACATTCTTGACTTTGTAACTAGCATTATTTTAACAAATGCTTTGTCATTACATTTCCTAGGTTTTTAAAAGCCAAAATAACAACAAAGCATGAAATCACATCACGTCACACCACATTAACCCCTAACTGGGGTCCTCAGCACGGTCAGGCGTTTATAGATCCACCTCTCAGTCCCCTGGCACTGGAGCCAATGGAGTAACTGGCAACAGGAGCAGACCTCTGTTCTCTGGACGGGCCAACGAGCAGGTCCAGAGGACACACTTCGCTACGAGCCGAGGACAGGGCCATTCTCTGTAGGTGCCTTCTTTTATCAAATACAACTCTCTTCCTCCCCGTCTTCATCTGCTGCTCAGCTCCCTGCCCCCTGTTGCAGACCAGCCGGGCTGTGTTTTCTGCTGGCTGTCAGCTGGACAGCATTAACGGCTCACAGCACCAGATTGTTCCCGAGCAGCAGGGAAGTACACTCACAGGGCAATTCCCACTCTTAGGGAGTAGCGTACGCTCTGTAAACATACAGGCTCCCCATTAATAAAGGGATAATTACTTTTTGAACATAAGCAAAACAGCATCTTTTCCCTCGTATTGTTCTTAGGAACGGCTGGTTTCCTTGTTGTTTTGGGGAGCCTTCCCCCACCCCGCTGCAAGCATCCCTCCCTAACCATGAGAAATTTCAGCTCCCGCAGCTCACGTCTGCTGAAGGAGAGAAATGGCCTTTCAGCAGAAGCGTCGGTCAGCCCTCATCATCCCACGCGTGGGGCAGAAGTGGGTGGGCAGGGGTCCTGCAGCCCTGTCCCTGCTGCACTGGTCCTCGGGAGCCACAGCCCTGGGGGTGTGGGACGGGGGTAGGTGCCCCGGGGCTGCTGCCCGCGCTCCCCGGGGAGCTGCGCGCGGTGACTCAGGCAGGGGACAAGGCAGCCAGCTCCGCTCCGGCACAGCCAGACATCGTGAGCAGGGAGGCAGCAGCTAATGAATGAGACCCAGCTGTTGGCAAGAAGAGCAGGAACTCGAGCAGAAATTGGATAGGGATCCGGGGAGGAAGGAGGAGAGCAAAGAGCTGCCTGTGGACGTGAAATGGCTCGGCAGGACTTGAGCTTAAAGGCTGTTTTGGGGGTAGAGATGCACAAGGGACCGCGGAGGCTGCCTGCGTGCAGGCTTGCAGCGTAACGCGGGAGGAGCCGGTGGCTGCGCACCTCTGTGTCCTCACACTACAGCTGTGCCTTCCCCTGCCATAAATTACTGGGAAAACTGAAGAAAAACACAGGCTAATGGGGCTGAGATGGGAAAAGGATACACCGAGGGCTTAGAATAGAATAGGGTGGGAATGAAGGCTGGCCACTGAGGAAAACTATGATACAACAGCAGGATGGAGGAGGCACATCATATATCTGGAGGTCAAGGAGAAGGGAGATTCAGCGGGACAGGATTACTGGGATATACAGGATCGAGAGAATCTGGGAGATAAATAGAGGCACAGGGGCAAAATGGGGGATGGAGACCCAACAGAAGACTCCTCTTCAGGGGTCTGGGCAAGGCAAATCAGGTTGTCACAGGGGGAGGCCAACAGCAGGGGTAACCAGGGACCCACGTTATAGCATGGACTTAGACCCAGCTACGAGGCTACGGGTGCAGGATGGGCTCTTGTCAGTAACCGCCAATATCATGAGATCCTTACCATTCTTCACTTGGATTGCTGAGCCTTGGCCTTGGAGGTGGACCACAGCTGGCTGCAAACAAGATCACAGGGATTTAAAATTAATGGGAAACACTGCATCATTTTACAGCAACTCAACACACCTCCACAGCACTGGGGACCAGTACAGAGGCACGAGAGTACCCTGAAATCACTAACGCTTTTCATAAATGAAAAAAGAAGATCAGAGCAGCCAACAACAACAAGTTTAAGTACTGGTGAAGAGGCGAGAAGCCCAAGCCAGATTAACACGGCTTCCTTTTGAGCAATAAAAAGGGTGAGCTCAGGCACTCACTCTGTGTAGCTATGATTTAGCCCATGCAAGAAGGGGTGGGTAATTTTCAGAGCTATACCGTCGAACACAACATTAGCAAACATAGCCAGTAAGGTTTACAAAAATCCAGCCAAAGTTGGGTTTTTCCCATGAAAGAAGATCAACCAACCTGGATGTCTCTGGAGCCGGCTTTGTCTGTGGCACCTGCAAAACGCAATTTCACATCATTGAAGAGGAAGCTTGAAAGAGCCGCAGTAAACACTCCTATAAATAAAACTGCTCTTACCCCAAAATAACCATTAAACCCCCGTTTTTAACAGAAGGAGGACAGTAACAGCGGTATGGGTTACAGCTTAATGTTAAAAAGTACCTAAATGAGAAAAAGAGTCATCCTACTTTTTCCTGTTTTATTCCTGCATTTCTGTCCTCAAAATTCCCCAACGTTATTCAACCAGTTTCCACTAGAAGGAAAAATTGCACAACCCTTTTCCTGATCGGTAGTGGCAATAAAGCCTCTTGGCTGCAAGGATTACAAGTTTCACTCTGCAGTAACTCAGGTCATTCATTGCATTCAAGCTACATGCTGAAATCTCTTTTCTCCAAGAGCCAAATCTCTATTAAAGAGGAGATGCTTGTGGGCAGCACTCTGGAGTGCTAAGGACCTCATGCTGCTCCTGGCCTCTGCTTTGGCAACTTCTGAGATAGACACTGAGAAGTCAACCAAGTTTTCCTTTGAGAGCCGTGCGAGCTATAGGGTAATAGTCCCGATTTCTCTGAAGATGCTTTTTTTTAATACTAGACTGTTCATATATGTAAAACAAAAAACACTGATGTGAACTTCCACTAATCTGCATTTTAAAGAGTTATTAAATTCAGGGATTTTAACAAAATAATTGGCATATGACTCTATTGAGAAACAATATGGTGCGGATACAGAGAAACAAAGAAAAATGAAACCAAGAACTGCAGGAGTAAAACATATTTTCATCTGGCTGGTCTGGGAGGCAAGCTGCCTCGGTTCGTGCGGTTCCCGGGCTGGCTTAGCAGCTGGGCTAAGCGTCAGCCTTCCCAGTCCCAACGCAAAGCTAGGCTTCACATCAGCTTAAGAGGAATTAACACGAACACCGAGTCACCGCCGGGAAGAGCCACCGTGCAGCCAGTTCGCGCACACAGAAATCGATCACTGGCAGACTTCAGTGGGATGCTTAAAAGCAACCAAGGCTCCGCAGGTCTTTACTGCTCCTTCTCTGCATCCTCCTCCGCCAGGCACCGCATCACCCGCAGCATCGCACCCGCGGGGCTGCAGAACCGCTGGTGCTCCTCTCATCCCCCCGCCTGCACGAGGACGAGCCCCGGGACGC